AAAAAAAGTATTGAAGATCTCCTTCCTTAGCTGTCTTCTATCTAATGAGGTTTCCTTAAATCCCAGCAAATTGTTTCTAATTAAGGATCAATCATGTAAGGCTTCATTACACAGATAAGAGGTTACACAGAATTTATAACATTTCAGCATCAATTGCTGCTGCAAGTCCATAATCTGAAAGCAGTCTGTTGTGGCTCTGCGTCTTCCTGTCCGGTTCATCGGCCACCTTTGTTGCGCAGCCTAGCGTAGGTGAGAGCTTGAATTAAGTGTTCCGTTTGACAGAGTCCCTAGCTAGAGTGCCTTCCTGGCGACAGCAGCAGTGGCAGAAACGGCCATACCTCTTACAAGGGCAACAGTTGCCTTGCTCATGGATCAGCCATGCCTTCTTAGTGTTTCTCATAACGTCTGCCACAGGAGGCGAGGTCTCTGGCTCAGCCTTCCCTCCCCCATGTCACCCCACCGGTTCTCAACTCATTCTTCCAGGGCCCCCTTTCACCAGGGAAGACAACACAAGCGGCCCCTCCCTTGGGCTGTTAGAGACTAGGGCTGGGATGACTGAGGGAGCGCTGAAGTTGCTTCTTTTCCTTGGCCGCCTTTGCTGGCGAGGTCCAGCTGCATGCACCCTCCTTCCCCGGTGGAAACAAGCAGACGGCCCCTCCCTTGGGCTGTTAGCAAACATGGACCCCAAAGGCGATTTTCATCTTTGCGCCAAGTCTTTTCACGGTGGGCCTTCTCTGTAAGGGTGGAAAAGTAGGCAACCTTTTGCTTCAGACCAGCTGTTCTCAACCTGTGGGTCGCGAACCCTTTGGGCGTCCAATGACCCTTTCACAGGAGTCGCCCGATTCATAACAGTAGCAAAATTACAGTATGAAGTATCAATGAAAATAATTTTATGCTTGGGGGGGATCACCTCAACATGAGGAACTGTATGAAAGGGTCGTGGCATGAGAAAGGTTGAGAACCACTGCTCTAGCTGCTTTAAATTTTTTGTTAGAGGGGGAAAAAAATTGGGGTTAATAAAGCTGAATGAAATTTGTCATGTATAGAATTCCCTTTAGACTTCCATTTCCTCTACCCCTTCTGTTTCAGTCACTGAGATTTTAAAATGCCCTCAGTCGTTAGGTCATTTGATAGAAAACCAGTTGGATCGCTTCAGAGGTTGTGGTCTGTCTGTCTTCTGGGTCAGCTGAGACAAGGCTTTGCCTGCACTGACCATCGTCTTTCCCTAGCTGCACAGGTTCTAAAATCACCTAAACTCGCACCCACAGAGACCAGCTCTCCATGGAGATATTCGTTATTGCTATACCCTGTTGTTTTAACAAACGGCTGAGCAGAATACAGTAACGTTCAGACTCAGACTTACTCTTATTTTGCCCCATAACCCTGTTATATATTTCTTAATCCCCCGACCAAAATCTCACTTCAGAATAATTCCCCAGTTCTCACCTATCCTCTGCGGGGTCACAAAGCTGTCATGCAGGGATTCGATTGTCCTCCACGGAATTCTTACCTTAAACTCCCTTGTTCGTGGTACCTGATTTTGGGGCGAGGGGGTCCCCAACACTCAACAGGTCCTTAGGAGGGTCTTTGCAATTGTGGAAAATATTGAAGACAGACAGCAGGGCACAGGGGCTCCTCGTCCCATGTCAGGACTGAGACAGAGAATATATTTTCCAATGGGTATAGCTAATGGGGCTTACAGATCTTTCATAAGGCATCCGTGTCATACGGCTAACAGATTACATAGTTAATAGGTAATACCATAAACGGTTAACATAATAAACCAGCAATGAGGTACGTCATTGTCTAGACCTAGTGCTGGTTGACCTCAACCCCCCCCTCCCCTGAGCAACGAGGGCATTGTTACATTTATAGTGGGTTTGCTATAGAACCCGATTGCTTTTATCTACAGATAACCTTTAGGCATAATGAAGAAGCCAGACACAGAAATGATTCATCTTATATGCCAGCTCCTTTATGACAGTTCTTTCATGGAGGGGGTTATTGGAGGGACTATGTCCAGTCATGAGAATGTATATTAAGATTTATTTACATCTCATAGCCATGAGTGTCTTCCTCCACCAGAGTCGGCTTTCCGGACCCGTCAGGAGGAGCAGAGAGGATTTAGCTGTATGGCATCCTCATCCAGCCCCTCAGTTTGCCACACATCGTAATCTTCAAAACTTCATCCTTGGTCTCAACACTTGATTTACTTATTTTAAACACTTTAAAGAGGTCTTTGCAGCAGATTTGCCCAATGCTATGAGTCAGTGGATTTTTGGACTTTGTGAATCCGAGTAAAATGCTCCCGGGGTGTCCCCTCGCCCCTTCAGCGGGCGAGCCCTGGTCTGTTCCTCTCTACTCCCAGCCCCCAGGACGACATGGGCAGGCCGCAGGGGTGGAGGCGATGAAGCACTGTGCCTTCCACCTGCCCCAGGAGGACAACCCCAGACCAGAGGGGGTGTGGCCACTTGCCAGGGAGTAGTGGGCTTCAAGGTCCGGAGAGTGGCACGAGCCAGGGGTAGCGAGCGGCAGGTCGTTGGGCATTTATTGGGGGCGGGGCGGGGATGGTGTGCCTGGAGCGCGGTTCCTCCGCTGCCCTATGGCACCCTCTGGTGGTGGAATGCCCCCGCCACGCCCCCATCAGTTATGGCTCGGCCCTGCTTGACCACCCCCCGCCCCCGCACACAGGCAGGCACTATATGGCCACGCCCATAAGAGCCGAAGCCCCGCCCCGATCCAACAGACATGGCAGCGCCTCACATTCCAACGCGGTCTGACCACACCCACTAGCAGTCGAAGCTCCGCCCTGACTCTGCAGGGCACGACCCCACCCATTTCCAGACTCCGCCCACATGGGCGGGGCTAAGCCCCCCCCTCCCTCAACGCCCGTCCTGGGTGGGCCCCAGCCGCACTTCCGGTAGTCCCCGCGGCCTGCTTCCCATCTTCTGCCTAGCCTCTTCGGGCTCAAGTCGGTGCAGCGGAGACAGCCGTCCGGGCCCCTTCCAGACGTCGCTGCCTGGGGAAGGCAAAAGGTTCCGGAAGGGCTGGGCGTGGGCGGTGTGTCCAGGTGAGCGTTCC